CAGGGTCAACCCACCACAAGCTCCTAGAGAGAGGGAGCTTAAAACCCCTCTTCCACTCACTGTAGAATCACACATCCCTGTTGACAGTAGGCTGTTTCCCTCTCCCCAGCAGGCAGGGCAAGAGGGAAGGGGAAAAACATTCATCATAAACCAGCAACTGAAGGAATAAATGGTACAGTTCCTGTTGTGCTATGATTGCCTCTCAGCCCAACCCTCACTGGGGCTCTGCAGGCGCTCTCCAGTTGATATGATCTGTAAGGAAAAGTTACAGCACTAATTCCTGGTTGCAGCACTTTACGGAGGGCAGGAAAGACATTTCATGCAGTGTTCAAAACACCTAAATTTGGGCAATTAACAAGTCTCCTGCACCCCACCACCCACCAAGAAGGAAAAGAAATTCACCAGGTACACTTCCTCACTAAGTACAGAAGGAGTCTCAGGCACTTGCTGACTAGGCTGGGTATCTAACACTGCCGTTCCCAGTGCCAGGCAAGATTTCTGCTGCAGGAGATGGGAAGATACACAGTCCTCCTCTCCCCAACCTCAGGCATATCCTGCATGATGACCCCAAGTGCAGGCTGAACAAATGATTCAAGCTGGGGCGTGCTTCCAAGACAGTCCTCCCTACCAGCCACCCCACAAATCTGGCTGTAAAAGGAAGGTCCCGAGTGAGCGCACTTAGGAATGGCCACTCTGACAGACTCAGGTTCACGTAGCATCTCTCACAGCCTTCCCTCCATCCCAGGCCAAACCTCTGAACGAGCCAGAAAGGAGAAGTGCATGTAACGATGTCAGCCTAGGGTGGTGTCATCAAGCCTCTGCAAGACCAACAATGGTGCTCAGCCAGGTTTGCTAGAGGAAGAGAAATGGCAGCTGGGCAGAGCTGGACAGAACTCATTTCTGGAAGCCAGGTCATCGCAGGGCTGTGGCCTCATGTGAGGACAGTCCCAGTGCTTCACCAGGGCTTTGCAGAGGAAGGCTGCATGCTTTCTGCCTGCTTACTATGCTTTTAGTCCACCATTTCCACCATCATCAAGATCTACACATTCGTTTCACATTTCATGTCTTCCTCCTTCCATTGCCCTCACAGAATGTTGCTTTCTGTTGCTTTGCGTCAAGGTTTGCAGAAGAAGGAAGGTCGTTTTATCCCTGCTGCACTCAGGGCGCATCCATAGGAATTGTGGTTCCATAATCCGATCAAAGATAAGGCCACTCAGCTCTCTTTAAAGTTTATAAACACATGACCTAAAAACCTCAGAGAACTCCTTATCAAAATGCAGTATCAGCTAATACTTTTAGTTATACTGCCATTAATAGCACCTTGTAATCAAAACCAAAAAAATCCCTATTTGTTACCAGCCTGCAAGTTAACTTACAATTTACATTACAGTTCAACATGGGTTCAATCTTTATAATAATACACAATTTTCCTGGATCTGTGGTTGGCAGATGCGTACACACACAAAAACCTTTAGGTCATTCTGACAGCTGTTTATGAAGATTAACCCCCTTCCTTTCATGCTGAAGGCATGAAAAAGTGCCAACACCTGTTTTTAATACACAAATGTCCCCCCCATACCTAGCAAAACCAAAAGAATAGTAATCAAATATTTAAATTTACCTTCAGTGTGGCCGCTCTGTTATATTCAGTATGAAATGCACCGTCCCTGTTGAACAAGGAGTGGGGAATAGTGTTAACTTACAGTAACATTACTGGAAATCATACAGCTGCTCTCCCTCATTTCTCACTAACCAGAACAAAATTATCCTTGAGGCTTTGGGCAACGTGGTCTAGTGGAGGGTGTCCCTGCCCGCAGCAGGGGGGTTGGAACTAGATGATCTTTTGAGGTCCCTT